ATTTTGCCTTTTTCTTTGATAATATGACTTTTAAATGTTTTTTGAATTTGTCAATTTGTCCGCAGTTAACGATCGGTTGCTTCACTGCTGCACAATTTATTATGCTAATGCTCATCAATATATATAAAAATAATATAAAACAATTCTGAATTTATATGTACACAAAAACAAGTAGATAATCTGTTAGACTTTGTAATTTAATTTAATTTATATACAGCTGATTTTTTGGTAAAAGTTTATGAACATTTAGTAAAGTAAGCCAAGAAGTTAGCGTTCATCACATGAATTATCATCAAGCACTTTGTAGACTGCAGCGGTTGTAGACTCGTAAATCACAGTATTATGTTATAATTACTACAACAAAATGCAATTATTTTTAAAATTTCAGTGAATTAAATACAAACTGACTTCCGAGTACCAATGGAAATTTAATTTATCTCAAAAAAAAATTGCGCATTTCAGATAGGTAGACCTAACTTATAGCATACCTAGGTATATAATATTGTATAATGGTAATGGTCAACTTTTGATGTAGTTTTTTGGAACTTATTTAAAACATTGTTTTGTCTTTTAAACCACAAAATACATGGGGTATGTTGAATATTATAATACATTAACCTAACCTATAGTTTAGAGGACTGTGGGATTTCCGTTCAGAATAAATGAGAACATCTAATTTATTATATGTTATGCATGTGGGTATACGGGGTACCTATAATGGCTACAATAACCTACTACCTACATCCTACTATGATATACCTATAATAGGTACACGGTAGAAAAATCAATCGTCACTCGTGGACCTCGAGAATCGCGTGTCTTAATATTATGCTGCTTGGTATAATATTAAATACATTATATTACATAGTAGGCACCTATTTATTACCTATATTGAGTTATGCAATTATTATTATATTAATATCATGCAAATAAAATATAATTAATATACCTATTTCAGCTAGACACCTATATTATACACGTAATACAACCTATAACCTATGTATATTACCTACCTAGTAAATATTAATGTCGTTTCGTATTTTTTACCATTATTTTTAAATAATATCATATATAGATACGACGACTCGGACAATGTAATATTGTGTAGTACTTATAGCCACTTAGGAATAGGTATAACGTCACAGTCGCCGACTTGACTATATTATAATATTATATACATCGGATTGGGCGCAGCCCTAAGTAGAAAACAAAATCGAAAAAAACGTTCGGTCGATGTAGGTATATATAGGAAACAATTAATCAAACAAAAGACCATACCCGCTGTTTTAACAATTGGAAATTAATCAAGCTCTTGTCCCTGTGAATGGATAAAAGTTGCAAATCACGGTCCTGTGGTTATATGTATAATATAACATATAGGTATACGACGTATGGTATGTATATATAGGTATGTTTAGAGAGAGATTCCCATAAACCTATACGTGTAGCCCATATTATATGGGTACGCATGTATACGACGTGGGAGGCGAACAACACCTTTACGGTCCGCGGTCGTTACGATAGATTATCTACGTTATATATACCTAGGTATCATATATATCAATATAATATAATATATCTATACTTCAATACTTGTGTGTGTGTGTGCGTGCGTGTGTGTGAGTCGCTTTATTATTACTACTATACACATCGCCTAATTGTCCCGAGTACCTATCTATAATAAATAATATTAATATAATAATATTATATACTACGTGTACCTATAATGGTCTATATACTTATAAGCAGCTATATGTAGATATTATATACTTACACGTCCTATGTCCAACGGACCTTATATACGCATTGTGTAAACAAGTCTCTGACACGCGATTGAGACGGTTCTGACGATAATACTTCGTTACAGTATTATAAAATATATATTATGTTCTATAATAATTATTACAATATTAAAATGTATACTATTATTGTGTACCTACTGTGTACTTACAAGTATCTATACTATCCTACTATATAATATACAGGTTTCAATTATTGTATAGACTGTTGCAGTAGTCAAGTGAAATGTATTATGATTTATTATGGAGTACAGTTTAGTGATACCATTCATGTGTCTGCTATACCTGTGTGTTAGTACCTAACACTTAACAGATATGTTACTACACTTCCTACACAGCGATTTGAAATGTTCACCAATTATTTGATCAAGTATAAAATACCAAGCAAAGTAATATTCAATATTATTATACAATTTTCAAAACTTGTGTCCCTGGACGTTCATCAATTCATAATAGGTAGATACAAGGTAGATACAAGGTTGAATGCATAATTTGAAAATGTTATGTTTACTTCTATGTCATCTAATTTTATTACAGGTCCCTTAATAGCTATTAATTATATATATGAAATATCAATAGTAGGTCTATATTATAGGTAAAATAGGATTGTTTATATATTATCAATACTGAATTTCGTTTTTAAATTAAACCATTTTTTATCTAAAATTAGGGTTATTTTATGTTTCAAGAATTGACACTATTTCCATATATTACGTTTGAACATTAAGCTATTTGTACCTATGTCTATTATTAGGTTAGATTTAGGCTATTTGTACCTATTGATAGTTAGATATTTGACTGTAAATTTCGTTAGCAACTTATAAACATTCCAATTATTCCATACTTAAGTGTAGGTGCAAATAAGGTGCCCTACTGAACTCTGATAGAAATCAAACACCCCCTAATTTCGATAATATATAACCTATTATCTAATTTATTTCAACTCTGAATGCACATAAACAACATGTGTATAAAAACATGTTCATATAATATCATTAGTAAGTACATTATAATCTATTCTATACAATATACATATATATTACGTGAACGATAATTTGGCACCGAACAAAGATCGAAAACCCAAATTAGGTCAAAGTTGTTGTAAGACCAATTTAATGAAAATTTGGGAATAAATATTATTTAAATCAAAAACAAAAATAATGAATATTGATACGTTATATACCTACATGTTATTACTGTAATAAATTATAGTTTATAGCATTTGCCAATGAGTGATTTAATATAACAGGGGTAGCCAGTGACAAGAGAGTCGAGATCTGAAAAATATAATGAAAAATAGTATGAGCAGCAGGAAAGGGAGTTACCTGTTAATACCTGTTACCTTTTATATTAGTAAAAAATGACTTGAGAGAAATAATTCAATGACACGGATAGCCTTTGATGCACGATATTATCGTCAATCGGTGGTCACCAACCATTATTGAAAAATAATAATACAAATTTTTTGTTGGTTCGGCACTCATACGAATTTATTTAATCAATGTATTAACTAAAACACAACAGCTCAACACGGGATGAAACAAAAATGAAAATTGCAGGCGAGGCGTATAAATAAAAATAGTTGTTCACTTAATTTATACCTAGATTTTTCAGAATTTGTTCCTTTTTATGAATTAATGTTGATAGTGGAAAAGGTATAGCATATACAATTGTACGAGAAAAAAGAAAACTAGGACTTAAAATAGAAAATTTAATCGGTCAAGGTTATAATGGGGCGAGTGAAATGAGTGACTTGTATTATAGTGGTGGCCAAAAGTATATTAGCACATGCGCTTTACGTTCACTGCTCGGCTCATTCGCTCAATTTAGCGATAGGAAAATCTTGTACCATTAATGAAATACGAAATTGTATTGGTTCAGCTTCAACAATTATAAATTTCTTCCAAAAATCTCCAATGAGATCTGAGGTTTTAAAAGAATGTATAAAAAAACATAATCCAAGTACCCAACAAAGTACCCTTATAAAAATTTCTGAAACGCGTTGGGTAGATCGTCACGAAAGTATATTAAGATTCAAAGATTTATACGAAGTTATAGCTTAGTAGTGGCGGTAAAATGATTTTGTCAGGGGGGGATATGGCTGATTTTTTAACATGCATTATTTTATCATTAAAAATTTAATATAATTTATGGATATGTCTAATATCAATTTATAAAATTATGGTAAATACAAACTTTATTTATAACTTAGGTATACAGACTTTATAAATATATTATAGTAATAGGTAACAATATTTTTTTTATATTAGTAAATCTATTTTTTTTTTTTAAGTAAAAAAAGTTATACTTTTAAATGTTGTGTGATATTTATGTAGTTAAGTTTATTGCACCTACTACCTACTCTATTATAATATCAAGTGCATGTAAGATTATATAATAATAAATTGTATCTATTGTATCCATTGGCGCAAATAGCATTTGAGATTTGGAGGGCTGAAGCACTACTATAAAGTAATATTGAATACGATTGAAAAAACTTTAGGTAATGTACGAGGGTTGACATTTTTCGAGCTTAGCCCTTAAAGCCTCTTAGCTTTTTGCACATGTGATTCTTTCTAATAATACATCTATAAATGGATAGAAATGTATTAATTATTATTTATCACATCTTTAAGTAGGTAAGTGTCTTAACTAAACACACATGGGTTAATAATTTTTTAACACTCGCAAATCACACAACTTCTATGGTGTTGGGACGTAGGTACAATGGTTGAGTTGCAAGTATTTTTTTAATACTCACCAATCACGCAAACTCAAAAAAATAACTAGTTTCTTAACTATCGTTTTTGAAAACAAGCATACAAATTCGTACGACTCCCGTACTAAATGATAGGACAAAAAAAACTACACTATTGCCATCGGTTCTATTTAGGGGGGATGGGGGGGGGGGGGTAATGGAGAAATGCCAAAATGTTAAGAACGACATTTGTACTTGGACGGGAGGTCGTACGAAATTCGGAAACGGTCATACAAATTGGTACGTCTCGGGTACTAAATTATGAGACCGAAAAAAACACCGCGGTGATGCCACCGAATCTTGTGGGGGGTGCTGGGGAAACGTTTCTCCAGCACCGCCCCAGTTTATTGTTTGTGGGGCGAAAACTAATCGGGTACAAATTTGAAAAATGGTCATACTAATTCATACTAATTGCATACTAAATATTAGCACAAAAAAAAAATATGAAAATCGTATGGGGTAACGTACGTGTATCAACAGCATCATCGGAAAGATCAAATTCAACGCTGAAAAGATTGAAGTCGTACTTGAGAAATAGTACAAGTGAAAATCAACTAACAGGATTAGCACTCATGTCAATTCAGAGCAGTATTTCAATAGACACTGAAGAAATGATTGATAATTTTGCAAACCTGCCTCGAAAATTGGATTTTTTGCTTTAATTTAATCTATTTAATATTCTAGTTTTTATAATTTATTATTAACAAAGTCAATTTATATTATTAATTAAATACATTTTTTTTATAACCCCCCAGCTGCCGATGGTTGTTATATATACCTAAGTATACTCAAGGATGTATTGGAGGCTACTATTGGAGCGCATACCTACCCATCAAGAGCGTCCCCAGGGGAGCAAGTAGGGGCAGTTTCCACTTCCTTGACTTTTTCTGGGACAATTATCATAATTATTATTAGAGCTGGGAATATAATACCCTAAAAATATGCTTTTATGCTCTAGAATAATGCACTAAAAAAATGAACGAATTTGTTTTGTATTTTTGATGATCGGGGATTGAAACAGATTGAAAAAATTTCGGATTCGGTTTCAATTTTGTATACAAGTTTTTAATTTTTCGATTTTGGTTTCAATTTTTCAATACCGGTACCTATTAGGAAATTTCGATTTTGTATACCGATTTCCAAATTTTTTCGGCTTCAGTTTTAGATTTAATACCGGTTTCCAATTTTTTTCCACATGAAATATCGTCTTTTAAATTATATTTTCGTTTTCGATTTTAAATTATAATACCGGTGTACCCGCGATTATTTACCGGGTGAAATTTAACACCCGGTAAATTATCCCTAGAGAAATTTTACCCCCCCCCCCTAAATATTCCATCGTGAAATTTTACCCCACGGTAAATTACCTATATTTCTAAAAAAAAAAAATAATAATTATAAAAAAATTTAAATATTTTGTCTCCTCTATGACAAATTCATAGGGACGCTGTTGGTACCCCGTACCCATAAAAGTACTTATAAAGAAAATTACCTATAAAGAAAATCGTACCTATAGCCAAATTAAAATGTTATGTTTTAGGTATTTTATTGCAATGATGTGTGATTTTTTTTATGTAAATGACTATTTTCTAGTATTAAAAATAATTTAGATGTTACATTTAGCTCCTCTATAATAGATAAGCCATTCCTTCCTCTTGATTGATACCTACTTTAAGAGTTAAGAAAGTTAATATTCAAAATTCTCAATAGTTTTAAGTTGTAACACTACCACTGAATATTATTTGAGTCGAACGTTAATCTACGACTGTAAGTTGTATATTATATAACTATAGATTTTCACGAAATCGGTTTTAGATATTATTTCGTTATTTTTAGAAGTAGGTATTTAACCTTAAATCCTCTAAAATATAATAGGGATCGGTCAAATTAACAAATAATTGTTGTGCAATGCTAGGCAGGTCTATGTAGGTACCTACAATCTTGAACAAAAAAAAATTGAGTAAAGTTAATAGTTGTACCTAGGTAGTATTAGTATAATTGTATTGGTACAATATTAAGGTACAATATAAGGTGGGCATTAACTTGTACAAAAGTTAAAGTTAAGTAACAAAGTTATTTTTTTTTACTTTATAACATAACTAGTTATTAATTTTTGTTTTTAATTTTTTAATTTCTTCAGTTAAAATGTTTATTTTTGTAACTTAACTTTTTATAATTAATTATTTATTATTGTTGTGCAATTAAGTTAATTTTCTTTTCGTGTCATGCGAAACCAACTAGACAATATACTGATTCGATTACTCTTTTTCGATTTTGGTAAATTTTTTCTAATTATGTAATACAATAATTTAATTGTTTGCACAGTTAGGGCAATTTATGACTTAGTAATATTATAAATTGAAAAAGATTAACTTTTTTTGACCGAGTTAAGTGAAGTTTATTTTCTATCTCAACTTTAAACTTATCTAGTTAAATTTTTTTTGTTAACTTTTAACTCAACTGAAGGCCAAGTTAAAACTGTACCAAAAAATTAAGGTACAATTGAACTAAATTATATTTCATTTTAAATACTTACTTTAAAACGTAAATTTTTTTTTAAAAAATTAGCTATATAGTTATCAAATAAGTATGAAATATATATTCGGGGTTTTCATAAATGTTTACAATATTTAAATATAATATAATTTACTTTTTAATAAGGTAAACTTCATAATATCAACAATATTTAATATACATTTTTGAGCGTTAAATAACTATTATGGGCAGACTTGATTATAATGCAGATATTTGAGCACTCCATTACAAAATTATTTGACAGCCACTGCCTGCAGGGCCTAACTAAGGCTCTACTACCTATATGCTCAAATCATATAAGAAGTATAAATAGATAGGTACAGCGTGTACCTACTATTCACTGTAAGGACCAAATAATCTGTATTAACAACTAAATTTTAAACTGACAATTTGATATATGTACCTTCAACTTGTATTAATTAATTTAAAAATATTTTAGGTTCTAAAAAAATATGGAATAATTGATTTTACAATTGTGGGTTTTGTTTCTGTCTATTATCAACTTTTAGAGCAGAACCAAATCACTGATTTTCTACTAAAACTCCCAGTAGTATTCAAAAGCATTGGGAAAACAAAAAAAAAAATTAAACAGAAATCTGAATTTTGAAGTCAAACCAATTTTTTCCGAACTTGATTTTTTTTTTTATATAACCCAAAAACAATAAACATTTAAATGTTCACCGAATGTTATTAGTTATTACTTATTACCAATGTTAACCATTTTCCAAACGTCAATAAATTTCAACAATTTTTTACTCTTTGAGAATATTTTTTTAATTTATAATCTTTTTGTATTAATAGATTTATAATAACTGTCAAAAGTTAGAATATTCATGGGTATCGTTAAAATCCCAAAAATTTGTAAATTATTTTTCCGTTTTAAGGTAAGTGGGTGTCGTTCTGCTGGACAGTAGGTCACAAGTGGGTGTCTGTAATGGATGGTATTAAATTTTAATTTAATGGTATAATAATATCATTGTATACGAAAAACGATTCTGAACAGAGATAGTTTGTTAGCCTAGTATATTTTTTATTATATTTATATTGTTTTTATTAATATGGTAACCAGTAAGTTGAATTATATAATTTGTGTATACTGTATAATAATATACTTCAAAAGTTTCAAGTACCCATGAATAATATTTTTTAAATATAAAACAAAACTTAAATCGTTCTTCTTTGTTTAAATATCTAATTTCGTCTAAATTTAAACAAAAAATAACTATAATAAACTGTTTTTATATTTTTTATATTTGTTGTTACAGAACAACCAACCATTATTTCAGCTACTCATCGTGTACATAGATACAAAAAATTAAAAATTAAAATAAAAATAAAACACACATCATTGTAAAATCAATACATTCATCGCTTCTCTCAGAATATAATAATTTCTTTTCAGAAAGAGCTAATATTTTAAAATTTAATAGAAGATTTCTCATAAGTTTTTCTACCTTTCACAAAAAAAAAAAGTTTACTGAATAGTAATGAAATAGTACTGGATAATAGCCATTAGACATTTTCGATTTTCATTTATATATTATAATCTTAAATAAAATTAATGATACTTATTACACTTAACCACTGCAGGCTACAGATCGATATCTTTAGAAAACTAAAAGGTATAGAAAATTAAATGAATTAATCCAGGATAATTAATTTTAGAATAATATAAAAAAGCAGAGTTATGGTCCAAAATGAGTTCAATTTACCTAGTATTACTAAAACGACAATACTATTATAAAGTAGATAGTAGATACCTATGCTAGGCTGACATACCGTCTTAACTCATTTTTCGTTCAAGTCTAATTATTTTTTATTAAACTCAAATTTAACACATCCATTACAATGACATAATTGACAATTACTGTTTACCTACAGGGGTTACAGGGTAGAGCAAAGTCAGAGTGCCAGAGCGGTATCCACTTGTCAAGTGTCAACCTTTCTCAATATCATCATTTATTAATAATATTCTTAAGAGTTACGTAAGAATATAGAGAATGGCCAAAGTCCACGAGTATTAAAATATAATCATATATTTTACTCAACACATTATATCACCACATCAGTTTATGAATAGTATATTTGAGACAAATCAATAATAAAAACAATAATTACTGATATTCATTAGAAAAATATGATTTTACATTAGTTATTGAAAATAAATATTTTGAACTCTAAATATACAATTAAATATATGCATTTTTATTAAAATATACAAAAAAAAAATGTTTAGTCAATTATTTATAAGGTAAGTCGCAGACTTAACAAAAAACCAATTTATTTGGACTAAAGGAAAAAAATATTCAAATGCATTGAAATCCTAGAATTAATAATAATTAAATACATTCATATTAATCTATTTTAATAAAAATAATGTCTGGGGTTTTTACATTATTTGAAATAAAAAATAAACCATATTAAAATATTAAGTAAAAATCAAAAAAAAAATGTTGTGGGGAAGAGGTCCTTGGGCCTTGACATATACTAATTATATACTATAATATTATCTTAAAGGGATTCATGTTCAAGAAAAGGCTAAGAACCCTTTATAAAGAGACATTTATATTCATAGAAACTAGATAGGTACTACCTATCTCACAAGAATAATATTGAAATTAAATTTATGATTGCTATAAAAATAATATTAGCTATGAATTACGATCATAAACTTGCACAATGAAAAGAAAATAGTAAAAAATTCTTTATATACAGATTTCTAAATAGTAAAGAAACCAATTATAAAATGTTGACAATTTGGAATATAATTGGATAATTTATGAATTTTAACATTGTGAAAAATCCAAATTAGAAATAACTTGTTTTATATTTGCAATCCAGGAAGGCTCAGTAGCATTATCATTTGATAGAAGTGTGATTAAATTAACCATAAATGTGTCAATATTTTCATTAGTAGGTGGCTCAGTGGTATCTAAAAAAATAAAAAAATTTTAAATATCATAATTATAAATTTAACTTTGAAATAATAAACAAGATTATAGATAAAATAATATATTATTTACTATTTTTAATCATTATTAAATGTATAAATACCTCAAAATTATATTTTATTAAAAAAATACGAACACTAAGATTCATATTCTATTTATTTATCAATAATTGAATGGGTCACATAAGAATTTTTAATGTGTTAAGGTATATATATAAATAATCACTTATTAATGATCAAAACTGATTTCTAAAATTTTGTTTGCACCATCATTTTTAAAATTTGCCAGAGTTAAATACATAAACAAAGTGTAACAGAATAACCTGACAAATGAAATAATGTTCATTGTTCTAATCAATATTGATAATAATGTGTATATAAAATGTATAGACATTTGTGCTACAAGTACTGTATACAATTTTTGTTTTTAATAATGAAAAAAAAAATTTTAATTAAAGTTCTTTTCTCAAAAATTCAATATATAAATTTTGGAAATTTAGTTTTATTAAAATATTTTATGGTAAAAATTCCATTGAGTAAGTCGAGTTTAAGTTGAGTATCTTTGCAGTTTATTAAAATATCAATATTTTTTTGGAATAAACTAATTAAAAACATAATAACATTTTAAAAAATATTATTTTTGAGAATTTTCAGATATAAGTAAATCCAAAAATTATTCATTATGAATATAATTTTCAAAATTTTTTCACACGTTTAACTAGTATCAATTTTTCATTTTTCATTTGTTAGGTCTTTATGTTACTTCCTGTAACATTTAAGACTATCGAAGGAGAAAAAAATTGGTCAGCACTTAAATACATAAAAATACAAGACTGTGGAAGTGTTATACTAAGGGCATTTAAAAGTTTAGACAGCCAATCCTTAGACATCTCAAATTCATTATTAATTTTGCACAAGTAACAAGGCAAACAAAAAAAAATTAGATTGCGCATATTTTTTTTATCATAATTTATCTATTAGGTAATTGTTAAAATAGTAGTTAAAATGTTATCTTGTTAGGGGTTCAAAAAAATAAAAAAATGCAAATTAAAAGATGCTCAATAAAATGGATTTGATCTACAACTGTTATTAATTATGGGGACAGTCACATAAATACATATTACCTATATACATTTAAGACTGTGATTAAAAATATAAAATTGTGGAAGTGTTATACTACAGGCAGTTAGAACTTTAGACAGCCGATCCTTAGACATCTCCCATTCATTGTTAATTTTGCACAAGTTACAAGGCAAACTAAAAGAATTTAGATGCAATTTCCTATTCTTCGATGATCTAAAGATTGGGCATATTTAATTTTATCATTATTTATTTACAGTAGGACCTCAATTGACCGTGCCTCGATTATCCCTGTTCACAATTAACCATGATCACTCTTCTGAAAATGTGAATGTACCAAAATTAAAGGCATAGGCATATAGGCACAAGGGATATAGGCATAAGCAGTATATTGTACTTAGGTTAAGAACAATAAATAATATCTGGACCGTATTTTAAATAGTTTTATTAGGGTCAGACAAATATTTAATATTACATATAACATATAAGTTATCGAGAAACGTAATGACCTTTTTTGCAATAAAATTACATACACATATGTGAACATATACTATAACACTGTACACACGTATGCATATAAAATATAATATTGTACATTATTGTAATTCATTAAATAAAAAGTCTCTATTAACCGTAGTTTTCATATATCCCTTCCTAGTGTGACCCCTTCCCACTAACATTAGCCCAGATAATTGAGGTTCTACTGAATTTGATAACTGTTAAAATAATAGTTTTAAAATTATGACTTTTAAAGAGTTTAAAAAAAAAGTAGTAAATTAATGGTTGCCTAGCCTAGTAACGTGCATTTTATCTACAACTGTAATTAATTATAAAGACAGTAACATAAACACAAGTATAACTTTAAAACCATGATTAAAATTAAAAATTGTGGAAGTGTTATACTACAGACAGTTAGAACTACAGACAGCCAATCGTTTGAGATTTCTCATTTATTTTTTATTTTGCACAAGTAACAAGACAAACTAAAAAAATTGTAGATGCAATTTGTCATTCTTCGATGAACTAAAGATTTTATATGTTTAATTTTATCATTATTTATTAGATAACTATTAACTATTAAAATACATTTATTTTGTTAATTTGAAATATTTACCTGGGAATGCAATGTCAGCAAAAGCATCTAGAAGTAGAGATCGTAATTTAATTAAATATTGTTCATACTTTGAACATCCAGCTTTAAGTTTTTCAGTGTTAGCCATTAAATTGACAATACCATTTTGCATATTTTCAATATGTTTATCTAAGACAGATACTTCTTGTCCTTGATCTGTTACCTTTTTACGAAGGTATCGAAGTTCACTGTCTCTACCTATAACAAAAAATAACAATAAGTAAATTATATTAAATAGGTAAAATAAAACAAATACTTACCTTTATTGAAGTTTAGGAAATCATCAGAATATATAGGTATGTCATAAACTGTATTAATGTTATCACTAGCTGGCATATCTTTTTTTATTTCTTGATCCTAAACAATACAAACATTAAGCACATATATATATTAATAACTATTAACAATTAATTCATGTTTTAATGATATCTTAATATATTATATATATTATATTTTGCATGTAACTATTTTTATTAAAATCTCCAATATAAAAAAATTTATATACCTTTTTAAATTTGTTATCACTAGATGGTCTTTCTTTTTTTATTTCTTGATCCTAAATAGAATAAATAAACAGATATTAATAATTATATTAAATTTACAAATATTAAAAATTATTAACATGAAATTTGTAATTTTGTAAAATCTTAAGCTGTATTATATATTATTTATCAAGCAATTTCTTTATTCAAATCTAAAATATAAAAAAAATGTATATAATATAACCTTTTTTAATTTGTTATCACTTGATGGCTTTTCTTTTTTTAATTCTTGATCCTAAACAGAATAAAAACATAGTTAGTCAACAATTATTAACAATGATATAGTATAATTTTATAAAATCTTAAATTGCAACATATATTTAAATGCAAACTATCTTTATTGACGTTAATATTTTAGTGTGGACTAATAGATGTCACAAATATTATATTAATTTTATGTCTATTTATGAAAATAATATAATTAAATAGTTCAACTAACTTCTTGGTTATGGGTATTAACTTTTTTTTTTTTCAATTTGCGTTGAATAAAATTTTTGTATGCATCAGTCTTTCTATAAGCTGCTAATTCTTCAACATATTTTACTCGTTCTTGTTCAGCAGCTAAGAGATAATGCTAAACAAATTTTAAATAATACAATATTTGATTAAAAATAATAATTTTAATTCTTTCTATACTCTGTCTCAAAGTGAAATACACATTTCCGTCCTGAGGCGGTATCTCCCACATAATGGAATAGGTAGTGATCAGTGGAAGGGGAAAAAAGTTTGTAGTACCGGTGTATTTTACTTTAAGATAGCAGTCTGATGATAATTGGAGGATAGTTTTCTAAATAGTTATTTGTTTTTACTGATGATCATATGACAATAGTTTATAATATATTACAAAGCAATTACTTGTTTTTTATCAGCTGTCAACTGATTCCATTCAGTAGCTAAAACTTTTGTTATTTCAGCAAATGGTAAATTGGGATTTTCTGAACGAAATTGTTCACGTCTATCATTTAAAAATCGGATGTACCCTGTAAATATAGATAAATAATTTATCTTGGTAGTTTATATATCAAACTAAAACAACTGTAATAATTAATAAGTATTTAATTACCAGAATGTGGAGGTCTTGGAGCTGTTTTGTCACGTAAACACTTTCTACGTTTTTTACGTTTTACAATATTTTTATCAACTTTTTTAGACATGCCGTTTTCAATGAATGTATCATCTTGGTCTACGAAAGTTAAAAATTAGAAATATGTATTGGCACGCAATAGCACATGCCTTTTATTAAAATACAAAATTATAAACATGAGTACCTGATATATCCATGGACTCAGTGTTTTGAGATTCCATCATTGTAATTATTCAAGCTGGCTCTGTTTATAATATAGACTAAGCGTAAAAATATTCATAAAGCCAACGGCTTTCAACATTGCTCGTCACGACCACATTCAAAATAATAATAGCAAGTAACCATAATCGTGAAAATTTTAAAAGTATTTATTTATTTATTTATTTATTTATTTATTTATAAAAAGCACACTCAGAAAACGATGGAATAGTGGAAATGGTAGAAACTAGAAATGTGGTCGGTCATGTGAATTCCGGATACACTACACAAACACAATATTCTTACTATTATATTCCATTGATAATTAACATATAAACAAGATATTAATATTATTATGGATAAGCAGATATGGCATTCGAAATGAATTTCTTACAAAGACTAAACACACGCTTTTGGGCCGACGAAACGGAGAGAGAAACGATGGTTCTTCCTCGCACGGAAGCTTCGGAGCAACAAGGAAACTAAAATTTGAACAAGAGAGAAAAGAGATGTTAACAATGGTATCAGTGAGGATGTCTGGATGTTGTGTTGTCGAGTTTATCAAACATTTTAACATTGATTAAATATTTAATCAATGATTTTAATATCAATCATAACAAATTCGGTACCAAACAAGAGTCACAACCACGGTATATATTGTTATAAAAGACCGCGTTCACCGAATATCAAAACATAACAAACTGATTACGTTCGCGAGCTTACGCGACTTTTGATTGCATTGCATTTTATTTTACGGCGCCTTTTTTTTATGTTTTTGATCGACAAAATAATATTTTAATATTATCATCATACTTCCTGCTTGGGGTGGAGCAAAAATAATACTTCTAAAGATCTGGAATTAAATCAAAATATCGTTCTAAGAAATAAGAATCATTTTGAATAAAAAAACTTTTGAAGGTTCAACAAAAAATGATTATACTTTGTACCTAACCGATCATTTTCTACCGGCCAGGCTATTGTATAAAAATACTGCAATAATGTTCTCAATCAATGAATGCTCAAAAATAAATTTGAATTTAAACATAAAAGAACTTATAGAGCCTATGATATCCCAGTCAAATACACAAATAAATCTTTTGGAAAGTGTTTCGTAGTTTCGTTGATTACCTTTGTCCAATATATTTTAATCAAATGATGACGATCGATTAGAAAAATATATTCAATGGTGTACTTGGAGAAAAAAAATAGTTTATAGGTGGTTATACTCTGAATTATGCATCTCACAATAATAGTCTTTATGTAATTTGACTAGTTTTTAATTTAATTTTTAGTCGTATTATTTAATTTTGTTTTTAATTTTTGTATCTATTTTGTACCAAACTATTTTTTATTAACTTTAATTTGAAATGTATTTATTGTATTTATTTATTTGTTATTATTATATTGTATACAAAATGTCAACAAAAGAATGTTAAACTCCTACTCCATCACAACCTATGCTTACAGTAGTAGTACCTGTATTTATATTCTTACTGCATCGCTATAGAATAAAATAAATCTACGTATATTTGACTGTATTTCAATACATTACATTTACATTTTTCACTGTTAGGTATTGGTTTTTCTTTGGATTCTTTAATTGTCATTATATGCCAGTTTGTGATTTTGTTGGTTACTGTAGTGTCAACAAAAAAAAGAAAACTATTGAAGTTGCAATCTAAAAATTAATATTCATAGATTCCCTAATGATGGTCATATGGCTAACATCTATATGGCGGATCTTAAACATTTCGATCGTGAAATGATTTTGTTATGAATGCAATATTCACTATCCAAGTGTTCAACATGAACTAAGATAAACAGCATGTTACAGTATATATTTTAGTAGCGTAAATAAAATGTTATGTAGCTAAGTGACTAAACCTAATCGGCATCACCTGGCAAGTGGATTGTCCTGTTTATCTTAGTTCATGGTTGAGATTAGGGTTTTGAACTTATTGTATTTAAATTGTTAGAAATATACATGTACATAAAGCACCTAAAATAATTGAATTTTATATATATAAATATATAATATATAATATGTAAATATATAATTATATAAATATATACGAGTATAATATATAAATAAACTAAACATATTTTTTTAATAGCATTAAAAAATCTTGATTTATTGAATTCAGGTTCAAACATGTCTTTACATTTATTATTATATTGCTAATGTTTAAGACCAAATATTGCCTATTTTAACTGACCTTTATTTCGCAAAGCTTACAAAGCAAAAAAACCACTATGCTATGATTGTACTACGTATGTTGTATATATATAATATATTGGTCAACTTAATAAAAATAAATGATGTAGACTATAAAACTGTCAAACATAAAGCAAAACAAGAATATATTTTAGATACTAAAATAACAATTAAATTTACAAATATTTTCAAATATGCCTAAAGCCAAATTAAGCTATTTAAGTTTTAGTAATTAAGTATCTTATGTCTCAAAATAAATGTATCTCACTTTGAATACCTACTCTACAACTATAATTAAAGAATATTCAAGAGCAATAAGTCCTGAACCGGCTGAACCCTGGTTATGATTGATATAAATTGTTTGTATACCTACATATGCATCATTTTGATAGTAAAAAATATAAAATAAGTATATTTTTGATAAATTTATTAATAATACAATTTTAAATTTATATTAAAAACGATATGTGATTAATTACATAGTCAATTATTACTCTCGCTGATTACATTAGTGTATTATTGATTCAAATATATTACTGTTACAGTTATAATATAAGTATTAAAATGTTTATAAGTACCTAATAAGTATGGAATACAATAATAAACAATTGATTATACATTAAATATAAAATAAAAACTAAGGCGTCATTAAAAAGTCAACAGCGATAAAATTAAAGAATTATTAATTTCAATTACATTTCTATTAAACAGTAAAATGCTAAAGATATGTTAAATATAAGTGGAGAGGAATATTAGTTATCAATATATTTTTCCATCATGTATACACAACTAAACAATATCAACACATAGAGGTAAAATTCCTATTTTTACATTAATTTTAAATTTTAAATTTGAATTATAATCAAACGTTGAGTATTTTATGATGAAACAATATTGAATTATTATTATTGTAAATTTCTAATATACAATGATTCACAATTACAAGTAACAAGTAACATAATATGACAAAGGGTAAATAAAATGTAGGTAAAATAAACTGATGGACACAATACCAAATTATATTTAAACTAGTAACTAATGTAAAATATAATTTTCAGTAAAACTTGTTGGTTCTAACTTAAAATGGTTTATTCAATTTATGATTGAGAAACAAACACAAGACATTAAAATATATAATATAACATTGTATTAAATATAAACAAAAGCTCTTAAATAAAAATGATTGTGTAAACTAATAGAACCAGAAAATAAATCAATCACAGCTATAAAGAAAAAATGCATTTTTATGTTTTTATAATTAATGGAATAGTGCATTTAAAGGTCCTTTTTGTTGGTATCGGATGTTTCAAGTGGTTCTTTAAGTATTGTTTCACTCTTGTTTGTCTTGTTGTCTCCTTGATCCACAGGTGATTTTATGTTTTTATTAATGCACGGACAGGATGATAGCAATGAACAAACTTGATCATCGCCAGCGTTATTTTGGTCTTCAGAATTTTCCACTGGTGTCCTGAACCAGTTTAACATAGGCTTGATAATACCCCATAAGAAGAGCAACAACGGCACAAGCACACATGGAACACAAACCATTATTGAAGAATTTAATATCTGGCTAAATCAACTGAAACATAAAAATTGCATTTTTAATAAAAAAAAAAACCCAGGGGAGTCACTCAGCTAGTAAGTATTAAGTGTACTTTGTCATACAGTAGGTCAATGAAAATGATGTGTTAAATTTGAATTAATGATAATCATTTTATAGGAATAAAGCGTACTAACAGAGACATTTTATAATGTTTATAATTTTATATTATATATATATTATACTAATATAGGACATATTATAATTGTTCTATTAACTATATGATGGGTTGCACTAATTTTCGCTAAAAACAAATTGTTCATACTATATTACCTATAATAATTATTAAAATATTATTTCATAGAAAATAATAATTTATGAAATGGCAAAAAGTTTCAAGTCCCTATAAAAATATTTATCAAACTACAACATAACACACCATAAATCGTTATATTTGTTTAAATATCCAATTACCTACATCAATATTTGAACTTTAAAGGCTAATAAAAAATAAATATGCTACACTATTGATTTTAGTTTCAATAATATCTACTTATGAGGAATTATGTGTTAAATTTTCAAGACTTGGGTATTAAATTTAAAATGTTATATATTTAATTACAAAATCATTGACAAATTTTTGTGGTTTTGAGTTTTGACAATTGATAAATGTTGTCTAAACTTAATCTCAAATACTATTATTTAATTGACATATTATTATGTTTTTTAATTAATTTTATATTTTTAAAGAAACAAATTATATAATTTTAAATTGTATTAAATTAAAGCTTTATGACCAAGCTTACACATTTTTATCAAAGCTTATAAAAACAAATAGAAACATTTCCCTTTCATTTCATCCCTATATATAGTTTAAAATTAGCCTAATATTTTTAAAATTACATCGAGTTTCTGAAAATGCTAATTTTAAGCAGTGGAATGTTTCAAGTTTTAGAGTTTAGTATTTTTTGTATTAGCTACAACATAACAACTAAAATTCTTTAATAAAGAATTGTTGTTTATAACATTTCTTATAAATTTCCAATTACCTACATAAAAATTTGGTTTTCAAATGGTCATTCAAATTGAATGTAAAGGAACTCTTATTAAATTCCAGTAAAGGAAAATTATGAGAAATCTTGTATTTTAACAACAATTTTAATTGTAAATAACATATTACTTAATTTTTTTTTTCAAATGCAAGCCCTGATTTAAACTATTATTTCAATTGGAAGAGTTTTTTTTAAATTGCACTTGCTTAAATATTTATTTTAATACTAGATGGCTTATGATCCTCTATTTTCAATTTTAAAAGTTAATTTATTATGGTTGAATGCAAAATTCATAGAATGAAAGTTTTATGTTTATGGGTTCTAATAAAAATATATCCAACACCATAGATCTAGTGAAATAATCACTTATATACCAATTGAAAAGTAAAAGTAAATTGCTTTAAAAGAGCTTAGCTAATGAGTGTCAGATTTTTTAAAAGAAAATTCTTTGAATGATAATTTGACATAATTAATTTGTTAGATATTATGCATAGGATTTATGTATTAATTATGAAATTATAAGTATAATTAATTTAGGATTTATAGGTTATACTGTATTTTTTAGTCTGTTATATAATACCTTTAATAAATTTACTATAAAATAATTGTTGTTATATAAGTACCAATGAAGATTTTTTTTAAAAATGAAAATAGGATGGGCCACATAGATTTATATTTGCCAGGGCCAAAAAATATCACTAACATCACGGCCCTCACACAATCACACATCTTGTGATAATTGTATTTAGTTATTTTATAATAATGTGATACAACTAGTAATATCAGTTAAAAGTACTTATACTTGTTTCTGAAACATCACCAAGATTCTAGAACCCTTTAACAGTCTTTCAAACAGCTAGTCCAGTAACTTATTAAATTAGATTCAATTTAATTTAACAATAATAAATTGTATCTTGACTCGTAATCTGATCTTTATCAATATATACTACAAAGTATTGGGATAATGGATGTAATAATTAATGTCATAATGATTAAGGTGCGATATTGATGTGTCAATTGAATAGAGCGATTTTGTAACAATATTACCTAGGTATGATAAATATGTTGTATGTGAATATCAACAATTCTTTGAATAAACGAGACTGTTTAAAAGTTGAAATTAATTATACAAAACATAGGTAATCAAATACTTTAAATTTATTAATCTCTAAAATATCTATTCTAAATGTTTTACATAATCTGATGGTGGGCTCGCGAAGGTGCTTACACAAACTCTGTATGATTAAGACCAAAATGAACCCCGTTTAGGCATTATTTATGTGGTAGAGTCAAGGAAATAAATAATATAAAATGTCAAATTATAACAATATTATCTTATTGATATTTATTTTTCAGAATCAGTACATCTTCTGGGTACATAGCACACGTCACCACAATATGGCCTTACATTCTATAACATAATCGAATAACAATTTTTACATGAAATTGAGAAGTAATATTCATCATATTGATGTCATTTTACATGGATCGTAATACCATAATATATATTATGTATACTGTTTAATTCTTATGCTTTGTGAAATACATTAAACGGTGTATGTATGTAACAAATACATGTGGATATTATGATTTCTTATGATTTTTTTAATGAAAAAAAACTGCATTTTCGTGAATACAAATGGTAGGAAGGACTTACCAAATGTAAACAAAGAATCACAGACGATCGTGTAGTTTGATGAGACGCTCAATCGAAGACAACAGACACCAACGGTGGATACTTGCTACTTTTGAGACGACCTATGAATTATAATGAAGATTGTTTTATTCCATCGACAAGAAATATGAAAATAATAACAATATTAAGTTAATATTTTAAATTTGTAAGCTCTAACACGATAAGAACCAGGAACAATATTATTACAGTCGATTGTGTATTTACGTTTTTTTTCGTGTAATTCACTTTGTTATTACCAAGTTATTTTCCCGTTTCCTTGTGAGTACACTGATAACACCACAATAACACTGATCCGCGTATAGATATCAGACGTATGTTATTATAATGGTGATAACAATAATAACAACAGTAATATTATTTCATTACACGACACGGGATTTTGGAAATTCGATTTTTTGAACAACGATTACAATATTGAATATAATATCATTTATTTATTTGGTATTATTATATTATGTAGCCATGTAGGTAATCATATTGAATTTAGATGATTTCAACAACATTACAGTATTATTTATTGTTACTGTAAATTTTATGTATTACTAGGTGGGTACTAGGTAGCGGGTAGGTAGTCATTCGAATTTCGTTTTAAATACCAAAATTGATGTTTTTATCGCCACAGGATACTCATAATTGGTATAAAATTTGAAATTTAAATATTTAAATGTTTGAAAATGTGGTCTTTAAGCAGTCTTAACACATAGCATACGGCAATAAGTGACATGAGTGGATTATGGCAATATTGTTGGATTATTATTATTTTTCTTCATAAATCATAATATATAACATGTAGATTCTACACCAAATAATTATACTATTAATATTTATGAAATAGGTGTATAAAAAAAATATAAAAAATAAGATTTTATGAAATGAACACTGTAGTCTCGACAGTCTTATATTCACTGCCATTAATTGCAGTTAATCGATCGTACTCAATTATAGTTTTATATTAAATTATTATAAACAATTAATTGTAATAAATATAATTATAATTAATTTGTATGTTTTGTTATGTCTACTTATGTAATTTGTAATAAAAAATAATTATTATAATTTTGGTTATGATAACAATAGATGTTTTGTAAAAAAAAAATGTATTCGAAAATATTTGGTAAGGGGGTCCATGATTTCTGAAAATCTTTCATCAGGGGTCCGTGATCTACAAAAGTTTAAGAACCGCTGGTCTGTATTAAACAGATATAAACATACGCAACTCATGAATCCTTTTACTAATACCTACAAAACCTACCATAAATCTGGTAATTGAAAATCTAATTTTTACTTTGGATTTTTATGATTACCTATAACATTATATTTGAAAAAAACCGATTGAAATTTATAAACGTACACATCTAACATTAATGCATATTACATATCATATGATGGTAAAAATTAAACATAATACCATTGATCTATACGATTATAGTAACGATATTTTTGGTACCTATATAGGTACCATATAATATAAGTTTAGCCAAGTTTATTTTTCGTGTACGATAAGTGGAATCAGTGGCGTAGTCAGGAATTTTGTATGGGGGGGGGGCTATAGCCTCCTTAGCCCCTTGGCTACGCCACTAGATAGAACTATGAACTATAATATTCGTATACTTTAAGTGATGTGTCTTGTATCTACGTCCATGTGTCTTGTATCTACGTCCATTTAACATAGACGAAGTTACGTTCTATTAGATGGAAAAAGTACGTACATTTTATGATTACAGAACGTTGACTAGTATTATTGATTATAAATACTATAGTATTCAACGCTAGCATTTTAAAATACACGATATTTATTAATATTATACATACCATCACGTATATTGTACAGATATATAGATATATATGACAACGAGAGGGCGCTATCAGTACACGACAGCCGCCTCACGTCGTCATTACACGTATGTAATGTAGCCATCGAATTTTCGTACTTGAAAAAATTCGATTATTGTAATTAGATCGTAACAATAATGATCGTATTGTGTTCAAACGGTTATTTTCAAACTCGTTCTTATTTTACAACTCTTAAACAAAATAAATATTACATTTGCGTTGAAATAGACAACGGAATACGTGTTTTTTGGAAAATAATATTTCGTGTATGCGTCCGTTTTTACTGACGGCAGATAGCGGTATTGAGCTGTACCGTTTGTCTGATGGTATATTCAACAATTAATCTATCAAATCACCTATTTAATTGTAATTATCATGAACTGGTGAGGTGTAATACACTAAATTAATGACGTATACGCCCGTACTC